CTGCGCGCCGCGCCCCTCCGCGCCGCGCTGTCGCTGCGGGACAGCCGCCTGCACGTGCACTCGCCGCCGCCGGGCGCGGGCGGGGCGGGGGGCGCGGAGGCGGGCGGGCGCGTGGAGTGCGGCGCGCCGGACGTGGAGGCGCTGGTGCGGGAGCTGCGGCGCGCGGGCGCGGAGGAGGCGCGGGTGGAGCGCGGCGCGGACGGCTGCATCGTGCACCTGCCGCGCCACGACACGCTGGTGCACGTGGACGCGCACGCCACGCACGTGTTCTGCGAGGCGGGCGCCGACCTGCGCCTGGCGCTGCGGCAGGCGCTGGCGCTCACCGTGCCCACCATATAGCGCCGCGCTCCACCCGCGTGCGCGTGTTCAATCAACAAATCGAACCGTCGATAAAATTTAAACAAAAAATTAAATATTCATTTATGAAGTCGTTTATGAACTTTCTCAATATATTTTTAATGTGAAAATCAAAATTTACAACACAGCTTTATTTGTAAAAAGGAAAATAAATGTGTTTATAACGTATCATTTTTAATTTTTTCGAAACCCTCTTGGACATGTGTATAGGAACAACGCCATGGGCTCTGTACCCCCGGCACGCGTAGCGAGATGTCTTACTCAATAAAAAAGATTTTCTTTTCCTCGTGCGACAATCTGCTTTTTGCGACGCCGCTGCTGCCAGTATGTAGTTTTTAAAAATCTTCCAATGTCAGCAACTTTGTTATATAAATGGAATGAAGTTGATTTATTTACAGCTAATCGTTTTATATAAAATAAAATGAATCTAAATAAAGCCAGATGAGACGAAATGCAGTAGTGTCAGTACAGCGGCCAGTCAGTCAGACCTCCCTGCCCGGCCGGCAGCCCGCGCACGCTTCACGAGCCGCCGTTGCTACACGCTGCGACCGGGAGAACCCCTAAACTAACAATATTGAACAGGTCCCACAGCCGCGCGCAGCCCCCCGCACCGTGCTCCCTGCCCCCCCTGCTCTCTACCCCCGCCGCCCATATCCCGCTGAAAGCCTTTAACACGTCTTTACTTTTATATTTTTGATAATTTAATTCAGCTAGCTTGTCTCACGGGATGTCATTTGTAAATGTCCTCTGAATAAATACGCAATGTTACAATTACTCTACGCCACGCCCTAACCCGCGACAACGTTGCGGCATTGCTACGTCCACAGCGCGCGATTGAGGTCAGGACGGTTCGCGGATACCGCACCGTCTCACTCGAGGCGGCGTGCGTGCTCGCCGGGACGCCTCCCTGGGACCTGGAAGCGGAGGCGCTCGTTGCGAATTACGCGTGGCGATGCGATCTCCGCTTGGTGGAAGTGCAACCCGGTCGGCGGTGTATCGTGTTCCGACTCGAAAGGCTGGTTCTGGCCCAGTGGGGTATCACGGAACACCAACAGCATCACCTGGGCGGCCTGGTAGGGCTGCCGTACCGCGGAGACCGGCGTCGTTGGTCGTCGACTATGGCCTCGACGACCCGTCGGTCGGGCGTCCTCGGCGTGGCGCCGCGTGTCTGGTTGTAGTGTTGACCGCGGAAACCCACTTACTCTGACCGGGTTCTGACCCCGGACGGAGATCGGACGTCGGGTGTAAGAGCGCAAGAGTCGTTTAGAGCGGTAAGGCCCTAAAATTCCTTGGTCCCGCGGTTTGCTCCCAACACCTTGCAGATCGTCAAGTCCCACATACCCAGCGCGCCGCCTAGGCGTGCGGATCTCGTAGGAGGTTCGGCCCCCGGCCCGAAATAAAAGACGTTTTTCTGTTAAAACTGAGAGCCATTCACCTTGAGACATGAGAAAGTGGGTGGCGACATTTACGTTGTAGATGTCTATGGACTTGCGCAACTACTTTACACCAGGTAGGCTGTGAGCTCGTCCGCCCATGTAAGCAACAAATCAAAAGAGCGACGCCGGCCGCATCTCGGGTCATTCACAAGGGCCGCACAGGTAGGTTGAGCGAGCTCAGCGTTTACTCGGTGCATTTACAAAGCCCATAGTCTTCGTTATGTGAGCGAAACTAATTCATTACCGTTGGTTTGTGGTGATGCGAGACCTCCAGCGGGCAACACTTACTGCGCCAACAACACTTACCGCGGCGTTGAGTCCGTCCTGCCCTACCAATAAACAAACTGCCCAGCACCGACACAGTAACCAGTTCATGTCTCGTCTCTCGACGGGATTCCCGGGCAGTGTCCCGACTAGTCCCCCCGCAGCACTCCGGGCAGTGTCCCGGCTAGTCCCCCCGCAGCGGTCCGTGTGGTGTCCCGGGGACAGTGGAGCGGACGCGGCTTCGTTCGTGTAATTTGTTAAAAAAATGTAGTCTCGTTCAATGAAACGCTATTTTACTTCAATCCAGCATTTATTTATTTATAAATAACACTTATACATGTAACAATGAGCTCGCGAGCGCAGAGGGCGCGGGCGGCCTCGTGTAAATATAACGTTAATTAATGCTGCCGGGCTAATTATTAAGATCTTAATTATTGTTTTAAGCTTCATCACTATATTTATTAAGCAAGTTAACCCCCGGCACCCTTTACAACGGCTTTGTCCGCCGGCGAGGCCGCGCGGTCGCCGCGGACGTGTCGGGCATCAGTCGGAACTAACAGACAAAAACATTTTTGTCAGTTACTGCATAATGCATTGTGGTTAGGGTTAGTTATTTTGACAAACGACTCGTCCACAGCACGCGGGGCGCGGCCGGAGCCGGGGCCCGGGGGAGGCTATATAGCTGTATGATGTGATGCTCGCGAAACTTGCGAACAATTACAAACATACTTGAACTTTTTTAGTTATATAGACTTTTTTCTTTCTGGTAACATTAATTATTAAATATTTTAGTGTTTTTGAGGATCAGTTCATTCAAGGCGACACATCGTGGCCGCCCCGCTCTGCCCCGCTATGCACATGGCAGAAGTGAGCGTGTATGTTCGTTCATAAGCCCCGGAGCTGGTCCTCCTGACTCCTGCTCACCGTGCGCCTGCATCATCGCGGGAGATAAATCCCGAACAATACGTGATTTCAAAGAGTAACAAATCTTAAATTCGGTTATTAATAAAAAAATACTTTTCTAGCTTTAAATAGTTTCAGACAGAGTTATTACATTTGGCAGCTGGCAACAGTTCAGGTACGGGTGCCCAATATTGTAACAATACAACAGAGGCAGCTCAAGCCCCTATATTGTGTTTATTTAAATCGGCAAGTCTAATTTTTACTATTTTTTGAAATTGCTATTTAAAGTTTAAAGTGGATAAAATGATAAATGCGAGATCTTCAGCACAAACACCGGTGCCCGGCCGGGGGCGCCCCCGGGGTACCACTGCGCGTCCACTTACTCAATATTCAATGTTTACTGTGAAAATTACTAATTTTGGCTGAAAAGGCGATCGAATGTCTTGAAAACAGTTTTAAAGTTTAATATTTGTTTACTGAGAAATTTTTCTTATTTAATTTTTTTTGAAATAATTCCGTTTCATCTCATGATCGTCGTTGCCATCCGCAGCTGCAGTGCCCGGGACGGAAATCCCGCTTCATGTCGCGCGCAATGTAAGGCGAACAACGAGCCGCTGCCTCGCGCTACATTGCGCGCTCGACATACGTGAACATAATGAATGAACTATTTTCTGTCGTTTCGCTTCCAGACTCCTTACACCGTTTGTATATTATTTATTATGTGACGTGTTTTAATGCAGTTATATAGTTGTAATAATCCATTTTTGCAATTATCTGAAACAATCGACTGCGACACCACCTTTAAACAAAATTGCATCACGCGGGCATTACAGATATTAATAAAGTAATTAAATTATAAGCTAGTGTGTAAAGCTCAAATTTTAAATTCACGTTAAAGTTGATGAGTTGTGAGTTGTGACTGATCAGATCCCCCAGAGCCGACCCCTCCTGAACTGTTGTGACACTTGACTGTCCCGAAAGTCTTACATTTATTTTTTAATTTGTTCACGTTAGACAAGAGCAGAATAATGACTGCTCGCGGTCCTTAGAAATGTAATTAAAAAAATGTGTTGAGATCGAACTCTCACGCATTGAGGTCCATGTCGGCGAACAGGTCGCAGGTGGTCGCCACGGCCAGCGCGTAGTGCGAGTTGAGCTGCGTCAACAGCTCGCGCTCGTCCAGCATCTCCAGGCGCTCCACGCGCGCGCGGTCCTCGTCCGGCAGCGCGCGCCACACCGCCACCATGTCCCACGCGCGCGCGCGCCCCCAGCCCAGCGTCTGCAGCCGCGCCGCGCCGTCCGCCGGGCCCAGCGCGTGCGAGCGACCCGGCGCCGCCACGCCGCGGCCCCGCAGGTTGCGCGCCATCACCTCGCCGAACTTGTCGTCCAGGCTGCACTGCTCGTACGTGAGCAGCACGCAGCGCGGGAAGGCGGCCGCCAGGTGGCGCAGCAGCGCGTCGGCCGCGTCGGAGCGCAGGTACACCAGCACGCACTCCGCCAGCACCAGCGTGGGCGCGCCCGCGGCGGCGACGCTCAGCTTGCGCTTCACGTCGGTGAGGCAGCGCAGGTCGCACCCCACCAGGTGGTAACCGTCCGAGTGCAAGTCGCCCTCGCGAATTACCACTTCGCCGTCTGGAAAATAATTGTAATGATACATACCTATAGTTTTCTTTTAACTTGGGAGTGGTTTTATTTCGCCACACTTGTCATGGGTGCCCCATTAGTAGCCTGTGGGCAGAACATCATGAATATTGCCATTCTTTATCAGGTAAATTTGTTATTCAATACTTCTACAATGTTGCTTCAATATTAATAAAAAAAATAGACAACTTTCACATCTATTTTAGGAAGTAGTGCATAATCATCTTATCAGTACAGTTAGGAAATATTTTTAGTATCATAATTTTTTTTTTTTTTTTCTTTATTGCTTAGATGGGTGGACAAGCTCATAGCCCACTTGGTGTTAAGTGGTTACTGGACCCCATAGACATCTACAACGTAAATTCCCACCCATCTTGAAATATAAGTTCTAAGATCTCCAACCAAAACTCTAGATTAGTCATACATACTTTAAAAACCAATATCAATATGCAAGCCAAGTCACTCATATTGAGTCTACAGAGCTATTAATAACTTTTCAACAAAAAATTTAATTAGTGTCTCTCAAAATGATTGTACAACATCATATACGTTTATAAGGATTATGTACCTTCATTACAAATCTTTTCCAGTAGTGCTTTGTTGCGCTTGATGATATGAGCCTTCTTTGCAGTAACAGCTGGAAAATCCAACTCTATAAAATTGCCAACTGCTTGTGTCGTGTCCTTCAGTCTCCAGTAAAGAGTGTCGAATCCACAGCCAAGATTTATAATCTGGCATTTAGTATCACATCTCTAAAAGTTTCAGACATTTTTTACTGAGAACAACATATCAATCAATATTGGGACTACCAACTCAGTTTTACAGCTTGCATTACTTGTATCCATGAGAAATAGTAACTACTTATGATATGTTTTTTTTCTTTCAGTAGCTATCTTGACGCAGGTCAAAAATTTAATATGATTGCATAAAAGCTATCCCACACACACAGAAGCTCTAATAATATGTAATGGTCATAATGTAGACTGAGAACACTACAGAGCAAATAGTAATATAATATAATAAAATTACATTGATGATTAAATTATGCTTTTAAAATGTGCGTTTGTATATAACTAGGTGTACAGTAAGGTATTCCGTGTCTAAACAAACCTCCAAGAATTGATGTATGAACATCTCGACCCCCTTGACCCTGGCGTAGTATCCCCGATTGATCTCTGGTGCTTTTCGGTCAACATGTTTAGCGAAGTATCCAATGTAATCATCCTTCCAGTAGCCTAATTCGACGGCACATCGCTTGCACTCGGTAGCCTCCGTGTTCGTCGCGATTATCGCCTCCTCTTCCGCAGACCATATCCTATTATCCATTCTCTTTGTTATTTATCACGATTGAATTGCCTTTTCATCACCAAATACTCGTAGATGTGTAATGTTATCTATGCCAAATATCTAATTTTGATATTTTTGTTTGACTTTTCTAATTGCATGTGTAAAAAGATATAGCCCATACAGCCGAATTTTTGGATGAAAAGACCTTTAGTCTATTGTACTAAAAACAAATGAAAAGTTATGAATTTGTATTCATTGAACCGAATGGCAATGGAATGAAATCCCTTTAATTTGATTCCAATTAAATGAGTGATTCCAATTAAGTGAAGTGACGTAAAGCAATTGTATCATTCTCCTATCCTTTTGCACTTCACTTTTATCTTTCATGACTAAGATGTGTGGATGAACTCATAGCCCACCTGGTATTAAGTGCATACCAGAATCTATGGATATCACAATGTGAATGCTCCCACCCATCTTGCGACATGAGGTCTTAGTCATAATTATATAGTGTTTCATAATTATTGTAAAATCTTCATTCAAAGTCGCGCTAATATGATTTGTAATACATTTACATTGGTTACATAAAATAAACAATAGCTATTCTCTTAATTCATTTCTTTGATTAACTAGCCATTAACAATTATTCTTGCGTTATGGCTCACTTGCATCTTTCAAAGCTTAACAAAGATTTCAAGATTTGACACTGACAGAAGTGTATAAACTACAACTATCAAAGAGATAAAAAACATATCAATCAATGGTCAATGCTATTTATTGTTGCACCGTGTGTCTCATTTTATCAAAGAAATATAGGTACTTTGTATTACGTAGATAAACTGGAAAGAGTTCATATATCGAAGTACATGATTGATTATCTAAATAAATAAAATCAAAATAAAAAATAACGTAAATTCTCAAAAGAATAAAGTAAAAGGACATTCGCAATAGTGTCCATAAAATAACTAAAAAATATCGAGTGAGTGTGTGAGTGAACTTCAAGTAGTTAAACATGTGGAAGTTCAGTAATTTGCCGATACTCTTAGTCAGTGCTGAAAACAAAATTGCAGCTGATTACATTGTATCAGGTATGTATGGGTCTTGAGTTTTTGGTAACTACGTAGGTACTACCTGTGCGAGGAAGGAAATCATGCCACAGTATTGTTTTAGAGCTAATAGACAACGAAGGAACAGATGTGCATCGGGAGCAAAGCGACGCATTGGACCCAGTGTGGAGGATAGTGAACAAGTACTACAGGGCAGATGTGCGAGTTCACACACGGCTTGATGGAGAACCACTGCATGTTGATCCACACCTAATCGAGGGTCATCTCATCTACCTCACACAGGATGAAGTAATTAATAACCCAAATAACTACATTATTATGTCAAATAATTAATAACAAAAAGTATGTCAATTTTTTTTTTATATAACTAAGGGGTTACAGTTTCTTCTAGGTAAAACTATGCAAGAGACTCAGCCAAGCTACTGGCTACTGCAAGACAATATTCATTTTTATAAATACTATCTCTTAACACTTTATCAACCACTTGCCTGATAATTGGCTTTTCTATTGCAATCTCTTCTTGATCAATTGCCCTCAACAACATTATGATTCCCAATGCTTATTGACTGTTAGCTTATTAATGTTGGGCACCATAATTCAAATCAAATATGCCAAGCTCAAGATTCACAACCAAGTGGTGACAATTGTAGCTCGTAAATTAGTGAAAATCCTAGAACTCAATCTTAAATTGGACCATAGTTAAATAGTAACATGGGTTATATTGACAGGCTAAAATATTGTTTTGAGGCGAACAGAATAAAAAAATAATTACAAATCCAAATTCTACACAACACCAGTCACCAAATGAATTGGATTCTGATTATATTGCTGCCTGAAGAATTAGCATGAGATGGAATTGTAGTGATTAAGAACAAATGCTTACGTGATAAACTGGAGTGTGGCATGAGTGACCATAGCTCTAGTATGAATAGTTGAAGAAAGAACAACTTTCATATGAAGATACAGTACATGCTATCTTATCATCGTAGACAATGGAAAATGATGTGCACATGATTTAGGGCACTAGTTCAGACACATTTACTATAGCACAGGGTGAGGTGCTGACGTCACAAGCTGAATGTATGAAAGTGAATGTGATCAATGTCAAACCTAATTTTGAACTGTGGTGCTGCGGAGACTGACACGGTGGAGAGCCTCTATATATTAAGGCAAGTTATTGTAAGAAAAAATATAACATTGAAAAAATATATTATATGAAAGAAAAACAATAAAAGAAAGAGTATTAATTATGCTGGTGATGAATCTCTGGAGGTAAAATCTGCTCAATGTTAGATCTTCATCATGCTTATACTCAGATGGTTGTCACTGATGAAACAGCACATCTAACATCAAAACACATGAATGGTATCTACACTGTATATTGGCTTGCTTTCGACCTTAAAGTTTTACCTGACATGATCCAACATCTAATGACAGCATTACTGGATGGCACAGATTATGTCCTAGTGCACTGATCAATGACGACATGGTTATTAGTAGAACAGCACAGGAGATGCCACAACGCTTAGAGATGATCACATTAAGAAAACACGAGAATGACTCAATAAAGACAAATGTCCGTTTTCAAGGAAACTTATAGAATATTTGGGTTTCACAACTAATGCTTGTGGCAGTAGCCATCATTACAACATATTTGACAGATGCCTGAATCTCGCTTACGACATTTTCAAGATAAGCTCGCATATATACAAGTTCCGAACAACAACATTCGGACCGTCGGTCTACCGAGCAAATATTACCCGCTCGGTGGAAGATCTTTCCTCCGTCGTATACCTACAACTTTAAATTTTGGTCAATTTGTACTTCTGTCCGTATCTGTAGGATCAAGTAATGAGTGATCAATAGCCGGATCCACACCGGACGATCCAAAGCGCTCTGATCGCGCGCGGCATGGAGCGCGCTCCACGGAGTGTGACGGCTTTTCTTCACAATCGTCCATCATGGGCCAACAAATGATCGTCCATCATGACCGCCATGATCGGGCAACTCTCCACACAATCGTAAACGTTCATTTACTGATTACTGATTGTCTACTGATATTAAGACGTCTAGGTATCGAAGATGAAAATCGAGGAGATCGCGGCTGCGGCAATATTTTTAGTTAGCTCATATAATCATTTAGCTAATTTGCGCGAAAGAATCGTTAAAACTAGATGAAGGAAGAGAAGGTGGTGGATGGTGGCTATCAATCGGAACAGAACAAGGTCCACGCAACCAAAGCTTTGTAGTCGAGATAACTGACACACATTCGAGACAACTAAGTACTGACTAATCGGCGACGGTGTGGACACGCACACAATCATGGGCCATAATGACTTTGATCTACCGACACAACGCCAATTGCGCACAATCATACGCGATGATGGCCGATCACAAACATTTATGCCCTCTACACTATCGTGAGTTTCTATAATCGCCCGTCATGGCCGATTGTGAAGAGGAGCTATGAAGTGTAGAAGTGCCGCGCGCTATCCATTTGTTGTCGGTTTTTTGGTCACGCACAAAGGGGCCTCAAGTCGCTTGGCGCGCGCGATCTGGACGGTTATGAATTAAAATCGCGTGATCCGCCGATATTTATAATTCGCAATGTATCCGTTTAATTTCCCTATATAGGGAGAATAATTGTTTATGGGATCCTAATGATACCAATTACACAAATAGAGGTGTAAGAGAAGATGCCTGGCAGAAAATTAAATTAAATTAATTTAAAATTCGTCTAAATTAGCTTCAGCTCCATCATCAATTAACTCTTTGTAAATACGAGTCCCATATTCCAACCGTTTTTTTAAAATTGTTTTAACTCAATACTGTCTTTTTCGTTTTCGTAATTTTTGCCGTAAATATACAAGTAAAATGTAGCCTGTTGCTGCTACGGCTATTCGTCGCCGTCGTTGCACGTATGACTCCATAGCCAGACAAAATTCAACTGATTCAGTATGAATCTGCAGGAGCGCGTTGAAGCAGCCAGTCAGTATCGCAAAAGATTGCTGTTGGATCAACCTAGAACGATTCACGCTCCACGCATCACGATCTTGGATCGCGGATCGCGGGATCGCCGATCCATTTTGGATCGTCCGGTGTGGATCCGGCTAATGATATGTCACTATATATTTGAAAAAGAGTAACCCCTGAGTTTTGCCGATTCTTCTGTAGTGAATCTTCATTCCAAATAAGCCACAGTCATGACTATTTAGGCATTTTAATCAATAAAAAGGTCCTTGATCCGATATAAAGCGACAATTTGATACTGTAACCCCTATTTTCAAGTCTTTGAATAATTCGCAAACTGATAATATATTAAAACGCGACATGCAGCTAACATTATCAGTATCAGTGTACAGCGGACGTGCCGCAGCGGCGCGCGGCGGGCGTGTCGGCAGAGGTGTGCGTGGTGGCCGCCCACTGTGACCACTACCCCCCGCCGCTGCACTCGTGGACCGTCACGCACCGCGCCGAACTGGTCCCCTTGCTGCACCCGCCGCCCCCCGCCGCGGGGGCCGACCCCCAGGAGGAGGACGACGTGGGCATCGCGAGGGTCAGGGCCGCCCTGCACGCGCACACGTGGCGCGGCCTCGTCCGCCCCGGGGACCAGCCCCCCGGACCCACTCGTATGTGCTTCGTTACACACTTTGTATGAGCGTAGAAATATCACTGGGAAACCGAGATTTCTCATACGAAATAGTGAGCCAGTGAAATTAATTCATTACAATAATAATAAAATAGGTTTGCACGTACGTAGATTCGCATTTATTTTAGAAACATTTATTTGTCTATGATTTTTTTGCAATGTTGGCATCAAAAAAGATGTTGACGGTTAAATAATAATTTAATCAATTGTAAAAGCTTTTAATTGGTCATTAATTAATACTTTCATATTTTTTTATTATAACTAGCTGACCCGGCAGACTTCGTAGTGCCTCAATCGATAAATTATAGACCTAAACTTTTGTATAAAATAATTTTAAAACAAACAAAAGGAATCCGTCCTACGGGGGACACATCAAAGGGAAAACAAAATTGTTATTTTTCTTTAATTCCGAGCATTTTCATATTTATTTACCTTTGAAACCTTCTCTGGACTTCCACAAATAATTCAAGACCAAAATTAGCCAAATCGGTCCAGCCGTTCTCGAGTTTTAGCGAGACTAACGAACAGCAATTCATTTTTATATATATGGATAGAAGATAGATACATAGACAAGCATTGAAGTTTACAACTGTTTCTCGGTTTTCAAGATACTTTGTCTTGGTGCAGGACTCGGAACGGTGTCTTCATCGGAGGGCTCGGATGCGGAGGGCTCGGGTGCGGAGGGCTCAGATGCAGAGGGCTCGGAGGCAGAGGAGTGGGTGTGGGCGGCGGCCTGGGCCTGCGCGCGGGAGGCCGGCGCTGCGCCCCGCCAGCTCCGCGTCGCCAGGGCCGAGCGACTCATGCGGGCGCTGCGCCTTCTGTGAACTTTACATTACTTCTTGTATGAAGAGGAGACATTCTACTCGCTGTTCAGATAAATTATTATGTTTAGATGTGTTTTCGATATTAAAATTTAGTGTTGAAATGAAACTAAGTTTTGTAAAAATATAATAATATATTTAGTGCAGTCGTGGAGCTAGGTTGGTTCCGTGCACGGAACACAAGTTAACGAGTTACTTCAGCACCATATAAACCCCAACATGTATACAACTTCTTTCGTTATAATAATTAATTATTTACAAGTGAGGGCTGGATTAAAGCGAGGCTGCAGACAAGTAGCACGCGCACAGCCTTCATTGATTCATAACATATTGTGCTAAATAATAATTCTACATTAAATAAATAAAATGTAAGTTTCCGTAGAACTAGACAATAATGTTCACAAGTACTGCGTGTACAATAAAGGCAAACTTAACAACACTAACAACGAGTTTCACTCGTCTGTACCGCAGCACCGCGTCAACAAACAACAATCAGACGGAACGTTCTGGAACGACTGTATCGATCTCACTGTAGACTCACTCTAAAATACAAATCAGTAATAACAATAAACACGCGCGGCGGGGACACAATAATACAAGTTACGTCCCTATCGAAGGGATTGTTGTACAAAACTAAATTTACATAAAATGCAATGCTCCGTTTTGTTAGACAAATACAGATATGTACTTGTAGTTGCATCAGCATATTTTTAATTCGGTTACATGGCGTGCAAAGCACGGGCAGGGAGCGTGTGCGTGCTGTATAGTGCGGCGGGCGTGGTGACGTCACGAGCGCCGAACGGACAATTTCGTGGATAGCGTTCTCATTATAGTCATTCTTTCATGGACAGAGTGTAGCTTCTTGGGAAAAATTGTGCCCCGGCACGCGGCATTAACACGAATACATCGGGCTTATTGGGAGCCCGCGGTCCGCACCGCTAGAGATAGATTCTCAAGTATCATAGTAAATGCATTGCAAGTAAACATCCTTGCCTGTACAACCGAAAACAAATATTGCTTAATTTATAATTATCAGTTTTCTATCAATTCCTTTAGAAAAGCTCTTTGATTAGCGTTCTATGATTTCCCGGGTGCCATGTCTTTCTTCTTACATTAATAATGGTTTTTATTAACAAAGGAAACCATCTGCTCTTTTAAGAATATAAAACTTGAAATACGACTGAGAGTGACCCCCGTGTCGTCCGGGACAACATAGTGCACACCGGGTAACCGCTTGTATATGTGACTATAGTTTTCAAAGAACGCTTTCTCTCGGTGCCGCCGTTAGGAGACGGCCGTTTGTTTTGACGAAGACAGAAGAAGATCAGGACGGTCCAATAATGCAGAGAAATACTGGCGCGCCACTCGCGAGATGTACTGCGAGCGAGCCTCTTGTGCCGGCCACCAGCCCTCCAGGAACCCGATGTGGCCTCCTCGGTGAGGCACGACCAGCGCCACGCGGCCGCTCCGAGCCGCCTCCTCCGCCGGCAGCGCCGCGCGCGGCTGGAACGGGTCGTCGGCGGCGCACAGGCACAGCAGCGGCGCCCGCACCCGCCGCAGCTTGTCGCGCAGCGTGGCCGCGCGGTAGTACTCCTCGGCCGACGAGAACCCGAAGTGTCGCGCCGTGAAGGCCGCGTCGAACTCGCGCACCGACCGCGCCGCGCCCACCGCCGCCCAGTCGGCGCGCAGAGCNCCGGCAGCGCCGCGCGCGGCTGGAACGGGTCGTCGGCGGCGCACAGGCACAGCAGCGGCGCCCGCACCCGCCGCAGCTTGTCGCGCAGCGTGGCCGCGCGGTAGTACTCCTCGGCCGACGAGAACCCGAAGTGTCGCGCCGTGAAGGCCGCGTCGAACTCGCGCACCGACCGCGCCGCGCCCACCGCCGCCCAGTCGGCGCGCAGAGCCGCGTGCGCGCGCACGGCGGCCCGCAGGTTGCGCGCCATGTGCCGCGACAGCAGCCGGTTGGCGCCGCGCTCCATGCTGGCCGCGCCCGCCTCCACGTCCAGCGGCGCCGACACGGCCAGCGCGGCGTCCACGGCGGCGGCGGCTCCGTGCGCGGCCAGGTAGTGCGCGAGGATGAGGCCGCCCAGCGACACGCCCACGGCGAGCAGCGGCTGGGCGGCGCCGCGCCTCTCGCGCACCCACCTCACCACCTCGGCGAGGTCCTCGTGGCTCAGCGCGCAGTACAGCCGCGGCGTCTGCACGACCACTTATTTTTATCTTCTAACTTTCTAGAATTTCTAGGTACTCATTTTCGTATGGACACATTTTATAAATCTGCTGTCTGTAGTGAAAGGAGCTACAAGTTCTCCGCTAGTCCGTGTGTAACGTGAAAAGTTCTAACAAAAAGTTTAATTGTAGTTTTTTTGTAAATATTCCAGTCCCTCAACTTTAAAAACTTTAAGGCTTAACTTTAATAATGAAACATTGACAATGATGGGCTACCCACCGGAAGCGAAGCGCATACGTATGAATGTACAGTAATCGGCACGGGTCGTGAGCTCTCGGCGAGAGAGTGGGGGCCGTCTGCGCATCGTACACTTAGGGTAAAGTTAAATGATTCATGTATTTTGATCAGAAGCCCCGAAATTTCTATAGCAATAGGATCATGTCCCTACCTCACAGATAACCCCCAATAAATTCCGCCTACAGGGCCACAAATGTTCACAGCACATTAGTGATTTAGCTAGTATATGAAGTGACGCTAAGAATCACGACATCAGTGTTGACCAAGTTTAAGACCCGTAACCACGCCGAGTTCTTGCTAATATTTAAAGATATAATAGTTTTAAATTCAAATAATATTATAAATGGCTTCCTGTGCAATAAAATGGTGTGGCAAGTCATCTAAGACATCTGGTTATCAAAAAGATGGCATAATATAACTACTGTTACTTGTCTGTACTTTTATTACATTAACGTAATTCAAATAAACCAGAGTTCAACTTATACTGGTGATGAAATGTGAAAAGTAATAATATCAAAGCACCCCTTGATGTCTTTTTGAAATGTCCCTTTCACTCATCATATAAATTACAATAGTCTAAATCTACACGTGTATCGATATCGAATATTGAATTGAAATATCAATGATCCAGATCATCCTACCAAATTTATCAATCAACAATTTTAAATCTATCCCATCACTATGGTTTGATGCATTATAAGTTTGTCTTTGAAATATCCAATCACAGCACACTTGACATGTCCCCCGCCCCTCATGCTTACCTCAAAATTTGGTGAAGTCGAATTGAAACAAATGTTGAATAATGCTGTATCTATTGGGGGTTATCTGTGCCCTACCTACAAGATGGCAAAAAGTTATCAAACAAAATGGTACCTACATACTTTAGTTAAATGTAAATAAACTATATCAAATTTGTTGTGAATTTTCTTAAAAAATGTGAAGAAACTTTTCCCCAACCTATTATACTACCTATGTTCATAAATGACTTCCACAATGAACAACATTGTGTTGCAAATATGATAATTTGGATAATTTGCATAATCACTATACAATTGAGAGACACCATCAATCTGAAGGGGGTGACATATTAATGTCCATGAGCTCCAACACCCATTTAACACTAAGTGGCTTAATAAGCACTTCAATTCAATAAAACATCAAATTGCTAACCGTCAATGGCAGTCCACCGAGTCCACGATTATTGTAGACAACAGTATCAAGACGCAGGTCCCGAGCAGCTGCAGCAAGGCATCGCACATAGTCTGCATGCACTGAACCCGTAAGACCAGGCAGCACGAGCAGCACTCCCCGAGCCTGCCCCTGGCCTGTATTAGCCCAGTCCAAGGCCACTTGTCCACCATCCGAAAGTGTTACCACTTCCCTGTGAACTTCAATGTTGAGTAAGAGAGCTACTAAAGCAGTATTCAAACATTACACTATGTAGCTTATTTTGAGATATTGCTTCCTAGAATTTGCTTTAGATTTTGTATTTTAGAATTAAGAGGGTAACAAGTCTAGAATTTTGAATAATTTTAAATCATAATTTAATGTGGTTTATCAAGCATTAAAACACCTTGTACCTCCCTTATCTTCTTACCCTTTTATCCCAATTTATTTTGAATTTGATTTTCAAATAGATGAATTACAAAAATATATTAAAATATGGTACTTTACCCATCATTGGAATTAATATTAACATAATACGGTGCAAAGGTGCATTTCTTGGAGTTTAATTTTTGCAAAATATAATACAAAAAATAGTATGCTGGTACCTCTGGTACTCCAGGGGCGGTAAAAACAGTGAACGTAATACTGAGCCTAGCACGGTCTGCATGCGCGACTCTACGCACCACGGCGTCGGCCAGTATCGCGCCTGCAGAACCGGCACGCGCTCTTCCAGCACTCGTCGGAACTCACCGGCACCACACACCAACTCCGGCCGCTGTAACACGAATATTTAACTCACCCGTTATAGATAGCAGTACCTTACCTCATCGTGATTCGCAAGCTATACAATTGACTTTACCTTGACCACTTCCACAAGATAATAGGTTATATATAATAGCGATACAGAAAAACCAACGAGCATCTCTTTCTTCGCTTCGAGAATATACACCAATAGATTGAGCATAATGGAAGAAATAAGACTTAAATAAATAAAAACAAAACAAAAAAAATAGGAAGAGTTCAAAATGGTAAAATAAAAACACTACTGCTGCATTGCGTACACGAACTACGAAGTATAGACTATACATTTATGACAGTGTTGCCAGATGACCGTGTGAATTTCCCTGAACTTTTTTCGAAAACCCCCCGAAAAAATGCTTTTTGAAGAAAAAAAACCCCAAAACAGTTTTTACTTATATTGTAGGGTGCGATGTATATAGTTCTCACACCACACACACTTACAATAAATGTTACGCTAGTTCAAAACCTCATTCGACGGGAACACTTTTTCACGGAATTCACCGACGCGCAAGGGTCTCTCGAAGGACCAAAATGTAGGCTTCAAGAAGGCTCGAAGGACCAAAATGTAGGGTGCGATGTGAGTTAGTTAGTTAAAGATAATGTTGCTTAAAAATGTTTATTGTTAAAATATAGAGAAATTAAATTAAATGTTAATGTTATGAATGCACCCGGGTGACGCGGTTGTTGATCGTGCACTGACGATTTGTGGAAATGAAGTTAACGCGTCACGCGAATTATGCTGACAAAGGTGTTCGGTAATATATCACCGAACATATATTAAAGAAGAAATAAAAAACCAAAAGGATTCTTTTATTTTTTAATCAAGCTATCCTTATAACTTCAACCATCTCTATACAATTATCACGATCATATTCACTTTCGTTATTATTATTTAAAGCATACTCGTTTTCGAAGTTAAAGATATTTAACATGTCCGATGTGGGAACAAAATTTATGCATCTATTTGGCAGTGAAAATCGAATCCTGAAAACCGCTTCGGCAGTTTTATTGCTATTTGGTTGCAAAATTTGTCCTTTATAATATTGACTTGTGAATAGTATAGTAGACTATAATTATTCTAATAGTCATTGCAAATTGATACTCAAAAAACCTCCGAAATTTCTCCCAACTAACTTTTTCCCCCCGAATGTCCCCCCAAAGAATCTTTCCCCCCGAATTTCCCTACAAGGTTGAAAAAACCCCCCGAATTTGCAGGGAACCCCCCCATCTGGCAACTGTGATTTATGATTAAATATCAAGAAGGGTATAATCTATGCTTAATATTATACCTACGAACTGCGAGACTTTTTGGCGGGAACGCGTGGAGTGAAGTTGTGTGATTTGTTTTATTTTGTCTATTTAGTGTTTCTTCGGGTTTAAATGTGTAATAATGGTGGTTTATTAACCGTTTAATATCTGTGAAAGTGCACAAATGTGGGAAAATGAAACAAAGGCGCTGGACGAAACTTCTCGGGATCCTCCAAAAAGTCCACTGAAAAAATCTTAGTAAATGACCACCATTTTACTGAGATTAGATTTCATCTCATATCATCTCATTTAATTTCATCCCAGTTGATTAATGTCTCAAATTAATCATTTTCATTTCATTTCACTCCATAACATAATTTTTCATAAAATTAAGAATATACATTAAAATAAGACATGACTTAAAGGTCTCGGTTACCAGGTCATAAAATCTCTTAAAAAAAAAATACGAGCTGCAAGGACTTTTTGGCGGGAACGCGAGGAGTGAAGTTGTGTGATTTGTTTTATTTTTTCTATTTAGTGTTTCTTCAGGCTTGAATGTGTAATAGCGGTGGTTTATTAACTATTTTATATCTGTGAAAGTACACAAATGTGGGATAATGAAACAAAGCTGCTGGACGTAACTTCTCGGGATCCTCCAAAAAGTCCACTGAAAAATCTCAGTAAATGACCACCATTTTATTGAGATTATATTTCATCCCAGTTGATTAATGTCTCAAATTAATCATCTTCATTTCATTTAATATTATTTCATTTAATTTCACTCCATATTATAATTTTTCATAAAAATAAGAACATAAATTAAAATAAGACATGACTTAAAGGTATTAGTTACCAGGTCATAAATTCCCTTAAAAAAAAACCTCTCGACTCGACCCTCTCACTTTAATCTTTAACTTTGTTCCCAAACTTTAAACATTATAAATTAATTAGAAATATAGTGATACCAAAGTTTGCGTTTCGATTTAGAATGCAATTGCAGAATTTATGAAAACGGATTATTTTTTCTGTTACTGAAAGTTTTTTGTAATAAACACGATGAAAGGTGCCAAGCTGGTCCTGTGTGGCGGTCGCTGCCTCGTCCCCAAAACGACTGCGGTGGTTCCGCTTTGCAGGTGAGTCCTAACGTCTTGTCGTGGTTTTTCCAGAGGAATTGATAACCCTGGACTTTGCTCTTCATGTCGAATAACATTCTTACCTTGGACTTTGTACCATGGTCGGAATGTAGGACGGCATCAACAACTGAATGAATTAGGTAATGCACGGGTAAACCGAAGCTGTTTGTATTCACAACAATTCCTGATTACTAAACGTTTATATTTTAATTCTAGATACCATTTTCAGGGATAAGCATGATGCATGGGCTGTAACAAGAGTGCTGTTTCAATATGATAGACTATCATCACCAACTAGACTACTAACTGGGTTCAATGGAGCTCCTGTCTGACACAATGTCATCAATTGTAAGACAGGTTGTTCTTATACAATTAAAATGTAGAGTAAAACTCCTTTAATTGGAGTTCCTCTTCTGACAACAATAAATAAGAGACTTAAAATTGTTATCAGATTTGTTTAGTTATTTGATTTAATTGGAATTTTTTCAAAGTTTGTTGTTTATTCTTTTTAATTTTATTGGCCTTTGAAGGTTTATGGTTTACCTCATTATGATTAGCAATTATTGTTTAGAACATTAGCAATGACTGTTGTCAATAGCATCAGTGACTGAACCTCTAGCTTACACCCACCCTGGCTTACACTTCTCAAACATTATTTTAATAAAGGCATGTCATAGCACTTAGGAAATATTATGGAGGTGAGTGGAAACACACTTTAGAGCAGCCTTTCCTAAAGTGGGCGATAATGCCCCTTTGTGGGCTCTGCAGGCCTAACGGGGGTGGTAAGAGATCCAGCAAAAAGATGGGGGCATTGTGTAGAGGCTCATGAGGCAATTTGTAATTTCATCTATGAGGACTCCTAGACATCGACTGAGCTCTCACTATAGTGGTTATAAAGTGGGGCAAAAAATGGGGGTGCTAAAAAATAATTTATTCTGAATTTATCCAGCAGAAAAAATAAGTTTGGGAGCCCCTGCTTTAGAGGAACACAGTGGTTCCAGTAAAAAGGAAAAAACTACTTCTTGTACTGTAAAAAGAAAAATGGATTATATTATACAGTAATTATTAACATTTACTAAATCTGTTGGGATTGATATTTTTAAAAAGTAAAATTTTATATTAATTGTCATTTAGTCACCTTTTACAATTGAGGGCCTTTCTATGTTATAAAAAGTCGTGCCGGGTCTAAGTAGTACAAAGTAAAACTTTTTTCTTTATGTTTATCTAAGCAGTTATATCTAACATAATTCTTTTTTTTTATTGCTTACATGGGTGGACGAGCTCACAGCCCACCTGGTGTTAAGTGGTTACTGAAGTTTGATTTTTATTATTCCTTCAAGGTGGAAGTTGATTGTGAACATTTGTTAAGTACTTATTTCATTAGAATAACTGGTACCCGTCTGCAGGATTCAAACACCGTTGCATCGCTAGATAGGAATGCACCGGAGGTCTTATCCTTTAGGCCACGACAATTCCCAATTGTGAAATAAATACTTTTATTTGTATTCATTAAATTTAGTTAGTCCAAACTTTATACATAAATAATGTTATATAAATAATACACATGCTGCCATCTATTGTCAGGTTGTATATTATTACAATGTCATGAAAAGTTATTTCATTTTGAAATATTCTCTCGAGATAACACTAAGAGAAATTAATTTGACACATTATTCCTTCAAACCCGAACACATGATTGCTTTACAGTAGCAGTTCTTACAATGTTTGTAACCAACCTGTAACATCTTCTGTTGGTAACAGTATGCGAATATTGTATTCGGAAACTGTAGGTGCCCAATATCTAGTTCATCCTTTAGTTTTCTTTTGCTATACCCACAGTAAGAGATGGAGTAGTGCTATTCGAGGCCAACCTGTCTGTAGAATCCTGTGACGTATTATTGCCATGTGTAAATACTGTACATGTAATATGTAGAAATTATGTAAAATTAGTTTCAATTATAACTATTAAATAATATAAATTTATTTAAAATTACAGTCTCATATCATATTAGTAACACTATTTACCAATTTTGATTAATATATTTTAGCATAATAATATACCAACTATCCTTTAAAATAAAAAAATTAGGTTTATCAAGTAGGCATTTTATGGGACTTTCATGTAATGTGCCTTTAACAGAGTTAAGTCACACTAAAAACAATGGTTTTTTTATACCATATTGATATTTCATTTTCATTTCTCAAGGTGGATGGTAGGCTGTAATGACCTTAGGGTGAAGTTTTTAATAAACACATTGGGTTGGTTGTGACCATCTGTCCATTTAGGTCTATTGCCCATTATGGTGAATATGCGTCAACGTAACATGACTGAACGCGTTTTTGATACGTTGAAATGTTGTGCGTACATATTGTCAAACAATAATATTGAAAGCGATTTCACTATTACTCTTTGGATTATAAACATTAATTTGTAGTAAGTCCGACATTTTTGATAGGATTGTAATACAAATAAAAACGAAAAAAAATGTTTGCAGCGGAGCTCGATCTGCCGCATCAGAGGCGCAAGCTCGAAACGGACCGAGACAGAGTGCCTCTTTCACTCTGAATCTTTTCCGTGGCCGATTTGAACCTACACAGGTGTTTCCTTTTCCGGAACCACTTTCCGATGACCAACGTCAAATGCTACAAGAGCTCGTGCCGCCAGTCGAGAAATTCTTTCAAGAAGTAAATGACCCCGCTAAGAATGATGAGAATTCAAAGATTGAGGAGGGTACCGTCGCCGGACTGTGGGATCTCGGCGCGTTCGGGCTGCAGGTGCCGGGGGAGCTCGGCGGCCTGGGGCTGTCCAACACGCAGTACGCGCGGCTCGTCGAGGTGGTCGGGGCCCACGACCTCGGCGTCGGCATCACGCTCGGGG